TAGTAACAAGTGCATCGCTACTAGTAACAAGTGCCTTACTAGTAGTAACAAGAAGCTACTAGTAACAAGTGCCTTTCTCACGCAGTCGACTTTCTCACGCTGTGGTTGTCATTTCCCAACAGCTTCGCTAGTTTGTCAGAGGCATCAGGTCTTTCAACCAAGATTGGCCTTCTTGGACATTTCGAACGCAAGTCTGAGAAGCTCCTTCTAGTACAGAAAGAGGATTCTTGCTGGTATGGGGAAGTACCTAAAATGACTTAAAAGACCTACTGTTTTTTTGGAAGTGACCACATCAGTGCGTCTCTTTGCTTCGCCGGCTTAGCCGATGAATCCTGTTTCGAAGAGGGTGCAGGTGGGTCAAACTCCAGTCAAACCAGGGGGTGAATTTTCTGAGGCTCCTGCCATGCTGTTGCTTGAAGGCAGCGACTTGCTTGGCAAGAAGCGTTGTCATGACCACGGTAGCGAGAAGGAAGGACTATCTATCTTTGGTATTCGCTGTTGAATTCAACGGGAAAAAAGCCTTTGATCTGACTACCTAATAGGTTGGAGGCCATTGCTAGTAGGTTGGAGGCCATCGCTACTAGGGTGGAGGCCATGGCTGATCTGTTGGGTTTTTGGTAAAGAGTGGTCTCGGATAAATAACCGCTTTATCTTTTCTGTGCCGATCTTGCTTTGTACTACCCAGTCAAACCAACCCAGCAAACTCACGATGCTGGGGAGCCAAGAGTTGACGAAGAGAACACTGTGGCTGTCCCACAAAGAGAAATTTTGCAGGCTATGTACCACTCCTTGCTGCTGTTTTGCTGACTGAGCCTCAAAGCGTGGATTCAAGTACACATGATGTTTCAAGGAGCTTCACGTCATGTTCTCACAATGTCTTGTGAATGTTCCAAAAGATCACAACTATGTTTGCAAGCTGGTAGCATTGACGCTACTAGGGGCTCTTGGCCATACTACTAGGAACAAGAGGACCCTACTAGGAGCACTCACGAACTAGTCTGTATCCCGCCACGTACCACGAACGAGCCATTTGGTCGACCCAGGTGATGCGCGCCCGCGTTCCACCGCCCAGTTCGGGCTGATGCCAACGTCGCCTGATTAAAAGGGTCCCTCAGTCCTGCCGTCTTCAAGCGGAAGCGGCCAAAGGCAAGCAAAAGGCCAGCAAAGGCAAGCTTAGGCAAGCTTAGGCATCTCATGACCCAAGCTGTCAAAATTGTTTTAAAATTGAAACGGTTCGACAGTAAATGAAAACGCACAACCACAAAGGACGGACCGAAGTAGGCGCACGTCAAATCACGCTGCTACGGCGTTGCTTCACACGCATGGAATCAAAGTCATAGCTGTCGCGGAGGTAGCATTGGACCCCCACGTGGCAGACCTCCACTCCCTGCGGCAAAGGGCTTCGAGAGTGAAGCTTAAAGCGCATGTCACCTACAAAGCCTTATTTTTCGATTGGCTGAAGTTTGCTCAAGTACTCTTTGTTTGCTAAAGTTTGTTTCCCCTTGCTTTTTGATTCTTTGCAATCTTTTGACCTTGCCTTTCCTTTCCAGTCCTTCTTCGAATAAGAATGCATTCTAAAGTTGCTAGCAGGGCCCGGTGAAGAAGGCGATGCAAAGAGAGAAGGGAAAGGGGGGCCAAAGAAGGATGTAGAGCAGGACGTGGAGGGAGCAAGAGGGAAGGGAAAGAAGTGCGGAATGCAGAGGGATTCGGAGCTGTGTTTCAAGGAAGGCTTGCTCGTCCGACAAACAGCAAACTGCTACAAACACAGCAGGTTCATCACAGCACCTCTGAAATGCATGCTGCCGTTTCTGTCCCAAGCGCAACGTGTCTCACGTCACAAAGTCTACTTTGAAGACAAAATGTCGTTGTAACTTTGCCCAAAGTAAAAGCAAGAAGCTACTAGGTGGAGGCCATCGCTATTACGGTGGAGGCCATCACTAGGAACAAGAAGCGACTAGTACGCTTTGCGTTTCACCTGACAGCTACGGTCCAAGTGTGGTGCATCACAACCCTGAGGGCTGAGTGCACACGTTTTGGAGTCGAGAAAGTGCGACATGAAGGTCCATGCCAACTAGCTTCTTGTTCCTAGTAGTAAGGCCAGGAGCCCCTAATAGCATCTTTGCTCCTAGTAGCGATGCCCTTTGCTCCTAGTAGCGTGCTTGCTCCTAGCCTTCCAAAAGCCAAAATCTTATCAGTGCTAGAGGTGCTCGGCGCCAGTCTTCTATTCTCCTAGCCGTTGCATGAACAAGCATCCTACCAGTAGTACTGACTGGATGGGTGTCGGGTAGGGCCTACTGGAATGCCGCATCTTTTCTGGAGAGACTGCACGGGACTACCGTCACTTCCCCTGTTCTTCCTTTCATGAGTTGAGCTACTAGTAGTACTGCCCTTGTTACTTACATGTTGGGCCAATACCACATTCAGCTTCAGAAAGCCTATACAGCTGAGCGTAAGCCCAAGCAGGATGCACCAGGCAATGAAAAAAAGCTTGCAGAGGCAGGGCATTCCGACGAGAAAACGAAGCTGTCAGGTAGCGTCAGTTTGTCAACATCCAGACGAGGTTGGAGGCCACCAACTCAGACCTCCCCACAACATCTGGAGACGGGGTGCAAGACCCTCCGTCATATCGAAGCACGCAAAGCAAGGAGCCCAAAGCATGCCAGCCTGAGCTTTAATGAAAACTTGTGGCATCACAAACCATCTCAGGGGATTCAATGCCACCCTCAACTGCCAAACAAAGAACGAACAATGCAAGGCCTTAGTAAATATCAACTGAGAAGAAGCAAGATCCTGGTTACTCCTGACCATACGATTGAATTTGCCCTTACGCGCCTGACCATTTCCGGAAAAATCACCTGACTGAAATACCTTTTGTTGAAAAGCAGACATTCCAAGTAAAAACTCACGTTTGGTTGCAGAAAAGATCCGATATTTGAGCTGTGGCCGACCCTTTTCAGACGGTACGCATTGCGAAATGAGCTTACTCGGTCATGTAGCCCTTCCTTTGCGACATATGCGCACATATGGTGTAGGTTGCCATCTGCTTGTCAACTGGGTACTTTCTAATTCGCTGGGTCCCAGGAATCGTATTCACAAGCTGATAGTCCCAGTCTTTTCTGGTCTATTCTCACATCAAGACAATGACAACTCACCATGACTTCACATCAAATGCCACGACTTTGCACATCAGCACATCAAGAAAAAAAAAACAGAATGCCTCTTCCACACAGTTCACCACATCACATACCATCATCACTTCACCATACACCGGATGACCGCATCTCGATAGACATCGGTTCCGCCAACCCGGAGTTACCGATTGTGTGGTGATATTCGGTGTCGGTGTAGGTGTGGGTATGTGTGGGTGTATGCAGGTATATGCGATAGGACGGGTGCTAGTAGAAGTAGCTAAGAGTGGCAGTCGCAAGTAGCAGTTTCCAAGTCGTATTAGCAGTAGGGAGTAGGGGTAGGCGACAGTTAAGCACAACAGCTGAGGCCTTTGAGCATTTGCGTTGTTGTGCTCCCCCTACTCGTAACAAGAAGCTACTAGGCGGAGGCCATCGCTATCGGGTTGGAGGCCATCGCTACTAGCTACTAGTAGCTTCTTGTTACTAGTAGTACGGCCAGGAGCCCCTAGTAGCGCGCGCGCGCGAAAAGGTCCTAGTAGCTTCTTGTTTCAATTCTAGTTAAATTCTACTTAGATTTAGATTATATAATTGTTATTCTAATTCTATGGAATTTTTGTTTCTAATAGCTTCTTGTTACTAGTAGCAAGGCCAGGAGCCCCTAGTAGCGTCCTTGCTCCTAGTAGCGATGCCAGGAGCCCCTAGTAGCTTCTTGTTCCTAGCATTTGCACAGCTCCGCACCTTGGCATCGGCTTGAATTCCAGCGTCTGCTAAATCCCGGACACGACGCGGGCTCGGCGGCAGGTTGTCATCCTGAACTCATGACCGGCGTGCTGAGTGCCTTGCAAAGAAAAGTCTGTTGCACATCTTGGTTTCAAAAAAACCTACCAAGGCCAATGGACCATAAGCGTCTTTCTTCCAACGTAATTAAGGGCCGTGAGGCTGCAAGGGGTATGCCTTAAGCCTTAATTGTTACTAGTAGCTTCTAGCTAGTAGCGATGCCCCTGCTACTAGTAGCTTCTAACTACTAGTAGTAATGGCCTCCAACCTATGGCCTCCAACCTAATGCCCTTGTTACTAGTAGTAAGGCCAGGAGCCCCTAGTAGCGTCCTGGTTCCTAGTAGCGTCCTTGTTCCTAGTAGTGATGCCAGGAGCCCCTAGTAGCTACCTTTTACTATGCCTTTTTTGATCGCAGGTTTTGGCGGATCCTCCGACATCGTGTCGAGGGTATCGCCCACTTCCCCGGGCAAAATCCCCTGGATCTCTCGGGAGGCCATTGAACGCATAGCCCTCACCTCGGTCAAAAGTAAACGTTGACAGCCTCTACTCTTTCAACATGGCAGCTTCTTGTTCTAGGTGTTGTTCTTCTGCGTGTTTGTGTTTTTTCTCCTTTTATCATCTACCTCTTTGGCACCTCTCCTCTTACAATTCTTACCTTGCCAGGTTGCAGCAATGGAGGGTCGTGAATCCATCTTCATGTTGTTCTTGTACCAGTCGACCCCACAACGCGACACAAAACTGGAGGACAAAAGCAGCCACAGCAGCCCTTCTCTGTTCACAAGATCAAAGGATCCTTCCTAAAGTGACTCACATGGACATCTCTACTAGCGGCTCCTGGCCTTACTACTAGGTAGCGGCTCCTGGCATCACTACTAGGAGCATTCTTACTCAAGGTACTGACGAAACCCCTAATTCTCCGCACTCCGCTCCTTGGACATGCCTTTGCCTAAAGTCTTCGCAAAGAAGCCGATCACCGAGGTCGAAGGTGTGGACGGCGTTGAGCCGCCTGCGACAATCTCGAAAGTGTCCGTGCTTCTTTGCTCCGTTCGTAGCGATGCCCTAGTAGTACGGCCAGGAGCCCCTAGTAGCGTCCTTGCTCCTAGTA